GAGATACATTAAGGATTTCAACCAGCTTTTTACTCAGTACCTTTTCTGTCACACTGATAATTCAGGAGCCCGTAGAGGTCTGGCCTGATTGCAAAAACTTGTGTTGCTGTGGAATTGTTCTGTATGCCACGTATCGTCATTTTCCTTCCTTTTGCCTTTCCCCCTTTCTTGGCCAGACTGCGCCATTACCTCACCCCTCACGCTGCTGAAACCCTGGTCCACGCCTTTGTCACCTCAAGGCTGGACTATGGGAACTCTCTCCTCGCCGGCCTTCCCAGCACCTCCCTCCACAAGCTGCAGGTCATTCAGAACTCTGCAGCTCGTGTACTGTCCCGCACCAGGCTTCGGGACCACATCACTCCCACCCTCGCTCGCCTCCACTGGCTCCCCATCCCCCAGAGGATCGAATTCAAGATCCTCATCCTCACCTACAAGGCCATTCACGGCCTTGCTCCCTCCTACCTCTCCGACCTACTATCCCCCTACCTACCTGCCCGTACCCTCCGTTCCTCTGGCTCCAGTCTGCTCAACAACCCCCGCCCCAACCACCCTGCCAACTGTGGTCGGGCCTTCAGCCTCTCAACCCCCAGGCTCTGGAACTCCATCCCCCAGTGCCTTCGCCTTGCTTCCTCCCTCTCCTCCTTCAAGGCCGGTCTCAAAACCTTTCTCTTTGACCGAGCCTTCAGCTCCCCTCTCGACTCTCTTCCCCCTTCTCGCTCCCTCCCATCCCTCCCCTCACCCTGACCATTTCCCCCCTCCTCGCTCCCTCCCCTCCCCTGACCATTTCCCCCCTGCTCGGGTCATGACCCAACTGTGCAGCGCCTTGGGACGTCCTCCTGACGTGAAAGGCGCTTTATAAATGGAATCTTGTTGTTGTTGTTGTCTGTATTCCCTAGAAGGTTGAGGGGTGATCTGATTGAGGTGTTTAGAATGATAGAGGGATTCAATAGGGTAGCTACATAGAAACTGTTTCCTCTGGTGGGGAAATCCAGAAGGGGGAATAATCCTAAAGTTAGAGCTAGGCCATTTAGGAGTAGTCAGGAAGCATTTTCAAATATAGAAGCATTTTACATGCAAAGGGTAGTGGAAATTTGGAATTCTCCCTCCCAAAAAACTGTGGATGCTGGATCCATACAAATTTTCAAGACTGTGGTGGATAGATCCTTGTTAGGTAAGGGTATCAATGGATATAGGGCAAAGGCAGGTAATTGGATTTGAGTTACAGATCAGCCATGCTCTAATAGAATGATGGATCAGGTTTGAGGGGCTGAATGGCCTACTCCTGTTCCTATGTTCCCTTGCTCGGTGTTTAAGCTCGTCATTATGAAGTTCTTTGTGATGTTATCCTACGTGAAGGACACTGAATAAATGTAAGTTGTTGTTGTTTACGCAGTAGGGTGACATGCATGGCATTGGTGGTAACAGAGAAACCACTGCTTATATGCAAACTTGTACATAGCTTAAATTTCGTGACTTTGTTCTGTGATCATCAATCCTCCTGCTGGCTGGGTTTTGCCGATTTGGAATTTGTTATTTTGCACAGAGCAAAAGTTGCAATGAATGGAACAAATACAGTTTACACATATCGCATTATCAATCCCAACGATGACTTCTCCCAGTGATTAGAAACCTGTCGTCAGGCCAGTAATAATTCCTCAGAATGATTTGAAATGGTCAATGGTGTATCTTCAAAAAAAAGCGGTCTGATTTTCCGCATATCTATTAAATTGGTTGACAATAACAATCACAACAATGTGCATTTATATAGTGCCATTCACATAGGTTAGGGTTTCGGAGCGCTCTAACAGAAGACACGATAATAATAGGAGAAGCCCCGATCATGGATAGAGCTGCAGCTTATGGACTAGGAGCTCACTGTGATGAGTTTGTGGATCACAGCTGGGGCCTAAATTAGCCCCAGTATTTGGAAGAGGAAAAACAGCCACCATTCCTGTTCCTGACCCATCTTCAGGACCCTCTATTGGTGATGAGTGTGTGTGTGACAGTTGGATGAGGAAAGGTCAGGCTCAGGTGTGATGTGGAATGTCCTGCCAACACTCTCTGCCAAAACTCACGTATGACTGATGGTCATTTAGTGAGTTACCAGAAAGCAACCAGTGCCCAACCAGCGATAAAGAGGCTGGGAACCAGAGCAGAGAAACATGTCAGTGTGGAGTAAAATTAGGAAAAAAATAATTGGACACAGTAAAGCTTAAAAAAAAGTGTGTCTACTTAATAATAATAATCATAATCCTTGCATTTGATATACCGCTTTTCACGTTCGGAGGCCATCCCAAAGCGCTTCACAGAACACACTGTAAAGTGAATTGACTGTATATTTGTGGGCAAACGCGGCAGCCAATTGTGCACAGCAGTGTCCCACAAACAGTCGTAGATTGAAAATGACCAATTTAATTATTGTTTTTGGAGGGATTATTATTATTAGGCGTGTGGAGTAAGGAAACTTGCCCAAGGTTTCGCCCTGCCTGGAATTGAACTCAGGTCTCTCACTTGCAAAGCGAGTGCTCTAACCACTGAGCTACAGGACTCCACAAACTTTTACAAGTGAAAAATTAAACTGCATTAGGATAGCCAAGAATAGTAATAATAATCCTTCCATTTGATATAGCGCTTTATCACATAGTTGAGCTTTCTCAAAGCGCTCCATGTGATATACACAACAACAACAACTTGCAGTGATATAGCGCCCTCCGTGCAGGGTAGTGTCTCAGAGTGCTTAACAGCCTGACTCCGAGCTGGGGGTGGAAGGAAGTGGCCGTAAGCACAGTCAAAGAGGAAAGTCTTCAGGCGGGACTTGAAAAAGGAGAGAGCAGGGGTAAGGCGGAGGGATTAAGGGAGAATGTTCCAGAGTTTCGAGGCCTCATGGCTGAAAGCACGACCGCCGATGGTGGGGCAGAGGGGGCGAGGGACGAGCTGGAGGCCATCAAGCGGAGGCTCTGGGTGGTAGATCGGGGAGGGAGGAGGTTGGAGAAGTAGGGAGGTGCCAGTGGAGCCTGGCCAGAACTGGTGAGATGGTCCTGGTAAGTATTTGGGTGGCAGAGTTTTGAATGAGCTGGATCTTTTGAATAGTGGAGCTGTAGAGAAAAGGTGAGGAGTGCATTTGAGTAATTCATCAGGAGGGAGGTGTTAAACGCATGCATGAGGGTTTTAGTTGCATTTGGGGAAAGGTACTGTCAGAGGTGGGCAATGTGGTGGAGGTGGAAGAAGGCGGTCCTGGCCAGGGACCAGCTGGAGGTCAAACCGGACGCCTAGATTGCGCACTAGTTCCGTGAGTTTGAGGGAGAGCCCAGGGAGGTTGAGGAGTTTAGATCCACAGGAGTGAAGACATTGACAGGAGCCAAGGAGTATGGCTTCTGTCTTATCCACATTCAGCTGCAGGAAGTTTACACTCATCCAGGCCCTGATGTCTGCCAGACAAGCTGATAGAATTTCGCGGACCTGGATTTGGTACTGGAGGAGGCAAAGCAGATTTGTGTGTTATCCGCATACATGTGGAAGTTTACCCCATGTCTGCAGATGACATTGCCCAGAGGGAGCATATAGATAAGGAAAAGAAGAGCACCAAGAATGGAGCCCTGGGGTACCCTGCAGGTGACCAGGTGGGGGGGGCGGGGGAGAAATCATTTGCTGAGATGAAGTGGAGTCAGTTGGTTAAGTAGGACTCGAACCATGCGAGTGCGGTCTCACTAAGGTGGATGAGGGAGAAGAGTCGGTGGAAGAGGATGGCATGATCGACTGTGTTGAATGCAGCAGAGAGATTCAGGGGGACAAGGAGGCAGCGGGAGCTCTGGTCACAGATAGAGAGGATGTTGTTTGTGACTTTGACAAGTGCTGTCTCTGTGCTGTGGGAATGGAGAAAAACAGACTGCAGGGGCTCAAGGAGGGAGTGGAGGAAAAGGTGTGACCGAAGTTGATCTGCAACAATGCGTTCGAGGACTTTGGCAAGGAAGGGTCGATTGGAGATGGGACGGTAGTGTGAGAGATTAGAGGGATCGAGGGTGGGTTTTTTGAGGAAGGGTGTGATAACTGCCCTATAATGTAAAGTGTAGCGACTGTGTATTAGGTAGCTTATCTGAGGGTTGACACTTTCTTTCCTCATTAAGTGCACTTTACTTAATTTCTGACACAGGATGAATCTACATGGAAATCTTTAGGTGGTGAAATGACCTCTAGTTACTCCCCACTACAGGATCTCATAGTTCCGATGCACATACAAAGGGTTTAACTTGACGGATTTATTTAGAGTAATGGTCATGCTGTGAGCACTAATCATGCCAGCTTTTCTTATTGCTTATCTCAAAACTGCACCTTATAGCAGAACAGTGCAATCCAGCACAGAAGCCCCTATTTGGAAACCTCTCTACTGGTGCAATCTCAAATATAAAAAATATATTTAAATAAGAGTTGTACTGAAACTACTGTAGTTACTTTATTTTGCAAATTCCAATTTTTTTTTATTTAATAGCCTTTCCACTGAATGCTTTTTCTTAGTTTGACTTTAGCGAAACCCCCCATGGAGTAAATAAAGTTAATGGATTAATCTAAAATTGTGTCCATGGCCAAGGGTATTGCATAAACCCGATATTTTTGTGGAGGATCTGCTTGAATATATTAGGGTTGATGATTAGGGATCATGCCTCATATTATATATATATAATATATGCAACTTCTGTTTCTTTCACATCTAAATGAGTCCTTAACCACCTATAAAAATAATACCCTTATCATGCCTTCAAGATGTCTTAAAGTGGTTCACAGAATATACTGTAAAAGGAATTGACTGTACATTTTGAGGGCGATACGTGGCAGCCAATTGCGCACAGCAGTGTACCACAAACAGCCGTGAATTGAGTGACCAAATTATTATTATAGTAATAATGTTCCTTTGTACAAGAGTGTCTCTCTGTGGACATTGTTCCCTTTTGTTTGATCTCAGTAATCATAAGGCGGATTCTGACATGTTAGTCCTTTTATTTAAGGACCTAGGAGCTTACGGTTCCTCCCTCGTTAAACCACGAGTAGTTGGAGAGTGGGTTGGACGTGAGGAAACGGATGCTGATCCTCTGGCAGCAGAAATGCTGCAGCCTCCAGTGCCTAGAATTAAAAGTGAAAGTGAGGAGCAACACAGCCCAGGAAGGTAACGACAGGGACCAGGCCATTGTTGAGCTTTCTCCTCTTTGCTCTCTTTCAGTATTGGTCTTATTAATCGTCAGCATTTCATTGTTACACTGCAAACCCTACATCATTACCACAAACACATTTCCTTGGCTAATTTAACAGGACATAACAGATGAAAGATCTGAAAGTTGATAGTCTGAGTTATCTTAAACATCCCATAACATTTCTATCATCTTAGTACCATCATCTTCAGGCATGCTCTTTAACATCAAATGCAGCGTGACAAGCAGAGGGTTATTTTGACTATTCCACGTTAAACGTTAGACTGAAATCAATCACAGAATCACATGTGTGTAGAAGGCCTTTCGGATCACTTATGTGTATCCTTTAATAATACAGCACCCTTCCGGCTTCCTATTACAACAACCAGATGTTTCTTAAATGAGTCCAACTAATTAATAACTGTGCCGTTACATCACAATTACTGTCTTATTGTTCTCAACTTCAAAAAGAAGTTCAGTTTCACACAATCTGCTGCCACTAGAACAATGCCAATACTTTAGTCAGTGTCTATTCCAGGATTGGATTTTGCTTATACACAGTTTAGAACCAGGGGTACTAACTAAGCTATCGTTTTCTCACTGATGCGTGACGACTTTTTCTAAAAACATTCTCATAGTGTGAAGACGGAGCAGAAGAGCAAAGGATTAAAACAACAACAGCAACAACACAAGAAGCTATTAGCGGCAATGCTATCGCAGGATTCCTTTGACTCAGTGCACAGTGCCACACCATCTGTGATGGAGGAAGACATAGATGCGGAGGACGATGCCATGGAATTGTTGGGTAAGTGGAAGAACATCAAACACACATCACTCCGAGGGGAGGGAGCCTTGTTGCAGAAATAGATTGAGTTGGAACAATGTTCCCACAAGGAGGCATCACTAACTTCTGGATTTCTTCTGTAAAGAAATATGTTTAAATATCAACCCCAATGTGTGTTCTGGGGATGCTAGAGAAAGGAGAAACAACAAAATAAGATGCATATGGGGAAAATATTTATTGTTAAAATATTTGTATTGACATAGGCAACTCTCCCTCATTCAACAGCACATTTGGGAAATAGTTGATTTGTTTGTAATGTAATAGATTTCTATGGTTCCCATGAAAATGCTCTCTGGTTTTATATGTTCACCAGCTCTTGCTCAGACGAGAGCTTTCATTTTCCTTTGATGTATTACTTATGAAGTTGGTTTCTGGCAGCCATGACTCATATAATATAATGCATTGTGTACTGGAACCTGCAAGAAAAGATGTAAAACAACACAGTAAATCAACTTGTAGAAGTTACCACATAGATCTCTGAACGTACTTACTGAAAACGGCATCATTGAGCTGGTGCTCAATAATGTTACATACAGGTAATTCCCTTGTCAAGTAAACTCAACGTTTTTTTAAAAAAGTTTGTCACACAAGATCATTATAAACGTATTGCAACACATGAAAATATTGGGAGGAGAGGGGGAGAGAGAGAACACAACAGTAAATTTACTAATTTTGCCTGTGGGGGCTTATAGGAGAAAAATCCCACTATACATTAATATTACTAATATATTACCAAACCTAATACAATTGGAGAATTGCCTTTATTACATAAAGTTACATAGAATGATACAACATAGAAACAGACTATTTGACGCAACTAATCCTTGCCGGTCTTTGTACAAGTGTCCACCCCTCCTAATCCTCTCTCCTATAACACAGTATTCCCAATTCCCTTGTGTATGCATCACATTTCTTGTAAAATATAATTATGCTTTTTTTTCCATCAGCCACAGCTGCCAACAGTGAGTTCCACATTCTCTTACCCTCTGAGTAAAGAAACTCCCTTTTAGATCTACGACTGGCTATTTTACAATTATGCTCCCTTGTTTTGAACTCGCTAAGAAGTAGAAATTTGGCAAGTTGCAGTTTTTGTATCTGCATGATATTAATGTTTAGCTGTACATTTGGTTGGCACTACTTTGAAATGATGCATTGCAATTTCCTATTATATAACTTTTCTCCTCCAGTTTTGTGCCCTTATGTCATATTGAGCTATTTGAGTCCTTTTTCTTTTTGCAAGGTTGTAGCTCCAAAGGCACCAGTCGCCCTCTAGTAATTTGCCAAGGTAGCCAACATCCATTTACTGCCTTTGGTAGATAGCCTATGTTAATTTTCTGCTGATCAATAAAAGACCCTGGCAGTGTAATGTCATAGGATATGATATATATATTATAATCACCAATATTGAGGAATTTACTGACAAGTGGAGATTAATATGCACATTGAACTACTGAGATAGGGAAGTTTATCATGGAATGGAGAATCCACAGTCTCATACATCTCCTGCTGTTTTTCCTCTGCGTTATTCTTAGGTAAATTATTTTGAACAGATGTGAAGGCAGAATCATTTTCCTTGTTTGTTTTGACTAAAGTCATGTTCAATTCAAACTTAACAGAGATCAGTTGTGCAATAACCTGATTGGAACAGATGTGTTTCGAGACAATTCTAATAACTTGGTGGAAAAACTATTGACGGGATCTGATAGCATCCAGTCTCCTTTCTTGGATGGGGATCCCTCTGCAGCACAAAGTGGAAGTATTCTAGACTGTGGGTTGTCATCAAGTGATTCTTAGTTCTCTGGTTTAAGAATGTAATGTTAGGCTTTTTATTTATTTCCTGTAAGGTCGAGCAAATAGTTTGGATTTGAGAATAAACCAAATCCTCTGATGTGGTTCCGCCAATCTAAAAATAATGCTGGGTCCTGTTTTCTCAGCCTTTGACTTGGTCACTTTGATCTTTTCACATCAGGTGATGAGAACAAAGTGACTAGTTCAAAGGAATTGGCAGTTTAAGGTCAACTCGTATCACAAGCCTTTGAGTGTGCTAGGGAAAGGTAAAACATATCAATACGGAAAAGACTGGGATATAGAGGTGAATGTGCTAATTATTAGATGCATTAAAAACAGGCATCTTATGGTAATGAACACATTTACTGGTCCCCTGGTGTCCCACTAGCAGCCATTCAAATGATCAATTTTATTTGGGGCATTGTTGGCCAGGACACAGGATAAAACTATTCTCTTTTCGAGTAGTGCCATGGGATTTTTAACGTCCGCTTGAACAGGCAGACGTCATGTCTCATCTGAAGGATGGATCTAGTTAATCTGAGTGCTTAAAATGCAATATCCAGCAGAAAAAAATACTGTCCCCAAAATAGAATATTGCTTTGTTTCGTGTGTATGTTTACAATATCACTGATCTACACCACAGAATGCTGAGATGATTATCTTATTTATTCCCAGCACTGTAAATACCCCTACAAAAAAATCAGAATCTTTGACTGCCAAGACCGAATTTATAAGACTGTTCGCAAAATTCTGAAATTTAAATTTGAAGTTTTGATGCAGTGTTTCTTTCTTCAGCCAAAGAGTCTGGTGATTTTTGAGTGCTTAGAAATTTTATTCAGCTAAAAAATGAAGGCTAATAGAAATAAGAATTCTGGTGTAGATTTATTTACAAAATACTGCTTTATAATATGTGCCTGGCATTTTACTGACCCTGGCATCCAATTCCATAACATGGAATCCCGTAGCATGCTTGCCTTGCAAGCGAGAGGACCCGGGTTCAATTCTCAGGCGGTGCGAAATGTTCGGTAAGTTTCCTTACTCCAAACACCCTTGTTTACTGAGCAGTAAGTTGGAACCCAATTGTTAGTCGATCAGAAGATTGCTTTCTGGGTGTAATAATCCCTCCAAAAAAGATTTGGTCACTCAATGCATGACTGTTTTTGAGATACTGCTGTGCGCAATTGGCTGTCTATTTCATCCACAAAATACACTTTACAGTATATTCTGTGAAGCACTTTGAGACATCTCAATGACCTGATATGGTGTTACATCAAATGATAGGATTATTATTATATAATTCACTTCATGAGCAGGTCGGTAGAGCAGAGAAACAAAGTTTTTAGAGCGGCAAGTGAAGTGAGTTAATGTTGAGAGATCTTACAAAAGGTTTGCTCTCTCTCCTTTAGTGCGATCTCCTGTTAAGTGTTCTGAGCTTGCTGTTCCCTGACGAAATTCCCTTTTTCACTTCCAATGAGAAACAAAAATAAACCAACAAACAGCACAGGCAGAGCTTCACTTTAAAGAGAATGTTTTCAAAGAGCAGCTGCTGCTCTGATGTATAAATTATGCTGAGTTACAGAGTTTGTATCTCAGTCTCTTGACAACCTAACAGCAGGCGTGAGATGATGAAGTCATTTTAGAACATTACATGACACAAATGTAATCCTTTTGAGCTTTTCTGACAATTAATGTCATTCATACGAGTTAACAGTTATCCTTGTCAGAGATTTTCTTGTAAGTGTTAATTTATTGACGGTTAATCACTACAATCTTACCCAATGCCGTACAATGCTGTTGCACCTCTTCTGTCTGCTGTAGATTTACAGCGGATAAAATGTTCTAAGTTATGAGATGCTGACTTTGGAGTTGAGTGAACGAAGTATTAAAACCCCAACAATAATTATATTTTCTCAGAACAAGGCTTTTGTTTTTAATTTGAGACCTGGGTTTGATTCCCGGTTGGGTAAGTTTCCTTATTCCACAAGCCTCTGTTTACCTAGCAATAATTAGGAACCCGGTCGTTAATTGATTTTCCGGGGGTAATAATTGGTCACTTGATCCAAGACTGTTTGTGAGACACTGCTGTGTGCAATTGGCTGCCGCGTTTCGTTCACAAAATATACAATGAATTCATTTTGCAGCATATTCTGTGAAGCACTTTGAGACATCTGGAAGACGTGATAAGGTGCTATATCAAATGCAAGGATTATTATTAATCCATGTGCTATTTTCCAGCAGAAAGATATATTGACAGCATGAGGTTAAGATACTTGAACTGCTTCTCTAGGTTTGCTTCCTTCCCCTGGTTCCCGATTCTGGCATCCTCAAGCAACAGAGCAGAACAGAACAGTTCTTCTCTATGTGTTAAGATATGGGCGAAACAGCAATTGCGGCAGCCAATTGCGCACAGCAGTGCCCCACAAACAGTCGTGGATTGAAAATGACCAATTTATTATTGTTTTTTTTGGAGGGATTATTATTAGGCGTGTGGAGTAAGGAAACTTGCCCAAGGTTTCGCCCTGCCTGGAATTGATCCCAGGTGTCTCACTTGCCAGGTGAGTGCTCTAACCACTAAGCTACAGGACTCCACTTTGAACCCACTGCTAATGTTTCTAGGTTTGTTAATCCACATTTAATATCTCGACTTTATACAAACCTATAGAACACTGAAGTCTATGAAAGTAAAACATAGATCAATAGGGGCTAGAGAAAAAAAATACACACACAGATAAGAGACACAGAGAGACAGACAAGACACACACATACACACACACAGATAGAGAGAGACACAGAGACACAGACAATGAATAAAAAAAGCAATAAATGTTTGGAGCTTCTTTAGTTCATTTGAGTAGATGGATCAATACCTGTCGAGAAAGAGGATTGAGAGTTATAGACACAGAACCAGCTCTGCTTGTTTACCAAGGAGATTAGGATAACAATACAAGATCCTTAGGTTTTTTTTGTTTGGCTGGGTATCCAACACATGCGGAAATCCATCACCATGTATAACAACAACTTGCATTTACACAGCGTCCCTCAGGTAGGGTAGCATCCCAGACTGCTTTACCAAACTGATAGTTCCACGTATGCCATCTACACATGGAAATTTCCCTTTGTCTGGAATGGAGCTTGCACTCTCTCCCCAGGACTCACTCTGCTTACCTAATTTG